GTCTTTCGCATAAGATATCGATAAATGTTTGTAGCTTGGCAAATTGTATCCTCATAAAACGATTTATTCATCAACAGTATCGATAAACGTTTGGCGTGTGACAAATTGTATACTCATAAAACGATGTATTCATGATGTGTTGCCAAATTATTCGTCAACAGTGAATCTTCTTGTGAGAATGTCTTAAGGATGCATTTTTCAAGCCGCTTGTTTTCCATACAGAACATAATTGTTCTGTTTTTGTCGGGTAAATGTGAATAATTTTATCAACAACAATATTATATAGATACATTCGTCACGTATTTAGTCTATTTGAGACCTTGATAGCAAACACAAATTTTCAATTGAAATGTGATTTGCATTATCAACCGCATTATGTATAAATTATTTTCATTCTTTCATGAAATATGATAGGTGCAACATATTTTTGGAATTAAATAAGTGAAAACTCCCAAAGAGTGATCCCATAACACTAATGTTTGCTATCCGGTTTTTACAAAATATCAAACATTTGACAGTTAATTATCCATGATTTTGAAATAAACCCACCGTTAACAAATATAATCGAATAACTCATTTTGGAACTGGGTTTGGAGTAGAAACAGTGTTTATTCTCGAAATTGCAGTCTTCAGTGCTAGCACTTGTAGTAGTGTTTGTATACCCAAAGGTCTACAAACACCATGAATCCATTTTTCTATTCTTCTTTCTATGGGCTGCATTTTTATTCAGAATGGTTTTTTCGATACAGTTTTTGAGTTAGTGTAGTGTAGAGGATGGAAAACTGACACTTTCACTCGCGAATAAGTTGAAAAGTATTAATTTTCAGAGAAAACCTAATGGAACAAAAGTTGTCATAATATCTATTTCCGGACTTATTTTCAACCGAACAATTTTCACCCCCAAGAAGGGCATCTACCCTTGTTTGAAAAAACTACCCCAGTGTATTGCAAACTTTGAACTATGGGTTGCATAGATGTTAAATCAGAATTTGTGTGCAAATCTTTGCTGTTTGGCAAAATTACACAGTATCTCCCTATTTTGCCTTCATTGATCGGACTATAATAGCGCCCGCCGTTCGCCAATATCGATATGGAAAGAATGTGAAATTGTAAAATAACCGCGTTCGAAGGAACATCACTTGTGCGAACTGTAAATAGTGATGTGCCGTCTAAATTTAACTGAAGAGTTAACTCGCAGCGTTGCCACATCGCAACATAAATAATCTAAACTATGATTAGGGAAGTGTAAACACTACGCATCAGTTTCATTGAACTAATTCTCAGAAGTTCCAATCGGTGTATCAATTATCATTCGAAATACATTAATTGAACTGAACCGAACTAAAACTTGAAAGTGATCCATACATTCCAAATGAAAATATACTTTATTCGGAAGAAAACTCCTGAAAATTTCACACAAATGTGAAAAATGACAAATTAATGTCTTTCTAAATACTAGGAGTCGCACGTTATAAGGCAAGACCTCGTTAATCCTTATCTTGCACAAGGTAAGACTTCTGAGGGTTGTTAACGGAAAAAATTGAGTTTTTCCCAACCTAGGATGTAGTCTGGATTTTGAGAATTAAGTTGTTGAGGATTAAGTTGTGAGATAAGTTGTTAAGATACACAGTTGCCAATTCTTTATTTTTCAAATGAATCGAGTGAGGAATATTGGAATTGACTAGCTTCATAACAACTACATTCATTGAAGTTGCATGATAATTGAAATTAATGATAATAATGATGGTTAAGTTCAAAATATATATTACAACATTGGATCACAATACGACAAAATCCAAGTAAACATAAATGTTCTTACTGAAAAAGTGCATAAATTGCGGAGTATTCATAGATTTGATAAGATGATCATTTATGAAAAACATTCATATTTTCCTATCTTTATGCTAATGTACACATAAATGGCATTGTTTGTCGAGATAGTTGGAATTTGATGATCAAATGGAATTTTTCCGGATGTGCATATCTAATGAAGTATAAAGTTTTTGAAAAGTAATAGACTATCTTCGCAAATATTGTTAATGTTATCTCCGAAATTGGACACGAAGATATTCCGTTCCGTAAGTTTTTGATTTCAGTTGAAGACCTGATAATAAAGAACACTGATGTTGAGTGTCATTCCCCTGTCTCATTCAATAATGAATTATAAGTTAAGTCAATCATAAAAAGTCTGAAATTTCAAAAAGTCCATGATGTATACGATTAAAAAGCAAAAACTTCAAAAGAAATTTCGCATGTTGCTCATTCACTAAGTGATCCTGCTTGAAAACAATATTAATATCAAAACAATCATCCTTGCTGATAAAAACATCATCATTTCACAAAGACAGTTTGACTTCAGAGAGAGGTGTTCAACCGAAGATGCTATTTGTATTCTAACAACAAAAATATATGAAGCAAAATACGTTAGAATAATATCAGAAAAATAGCAGATAAAACGGCCCTTTTTGGCCAAGAAAAAAGTGCCTTTTCTCCAAGGAAACGCACCGGCTCACACCTCCACCGTCGCCACGGACAAATTGGGCGAATTAGGTTTCAAACAGTTGTCCCATCCACCGTATTCTCCAGATTTGGCCCTATGTGATTCTTTTTTCCAGGCAGAAATTTGAATAAAATGAGGTGAATATTACTGGAGTTTTTTCCCAACACCAAATCGTTATTTTAAATACCTCGACACGTGTTTCGATCACCAAATGATCATCTTCAAAGAGGAAGATTAATCAGTTCAATCTTCCTCTTTGAAGAATAATTGAATGAATAAAAATAAAGAAATGAAAAAGAAAATAAAAATAAAAAATGGAGAGATTCCAAGTCACGTTAGCTCACGACGTTCCGATTGTTAGTATCTACAATCGTCTTCGGGTGATGACTGGACTGATTCCTCCGAGAGATGACTATTTATAGGTCGTTCGAGTACTTTCACTTATCCCCGCTAGCATAAGGATAGGAAAAATATGAATGATATACTACATAATGTTTTTCATAAATAATTATCGCATTAAATTTGTCTATAAATAGCTTTCCTTGAATTTTCATTCATTTATCATGATGTATTGGGCCTTTTTGCAAGGTGATTTTCTTCTGTACAATGTTTTGAGGGACATTTACGTCATGTCTTCTGATTGTATAAGTGAAAAAACTGCCATTGCGAATCCCAGCAACATACTCTTATACATTTGTTTGAAAGTGATTGACAATGTTACATGATGAATTTCACTAGTTCGGACTTCCATTGTCTACTATATAAAATGATTTGGAAACCCTGAAACAACTAAAAAAGAAGAATTGAAAATGAAGAGCTGAAAATAACAATTATATTAAACAAAATAAACCTGAAATGAAATAATAGTGAAGTAAAATACAAGTAAAAATAGAACAATTGAATGAATAAAAATAAAGAAATGAAAAAGAAAATAAAAATAAAAAGTGGAGAGATTCCAAGTCACGTTTGTTCACGACGTTTCGATTGTTAGTATCCGAGAGATGACTATTTATAGGTCGTTCGAGTACTTTCACTGGTTCCGTGGGAGATGACCGTTTTGGCGGGAGTTGGCCATTTGACGCTTGATGATGGTTTTCCATATGTTGCGTATTTCTACGCTGGCTTGGCTGAATACGTTGTTGGACAACATGTATGCGGCTTCCTTGAATTTTCTCCTAAACCAATGTTCCTCTCTGTGCAAGATCTCAGCTTGGGACCACTCGATGTTGTGTTGATGGGTCCAAACATGGTCTGCTATTCCTAATTTGCTGGTTTCCCCTCGCTGTGTGTGTTTCTTGTGCTCGGCAATGCGAACATTCAATGGCCTCTTAGTTTCACCAATATAGGATTTTCCGCACTCACAGGGTATCCGGTAAATGCAATTCTTGGAATCGCAGTCCGCGTTTGGTGGCCTGGTTTTCGTGAGGCTGCTACGGATAGTGTTACCGGATCTGAAGCAGGTTCTGATGTTGTACTTGGAACCAATTCTTCTCATCCTCTCCGATAATCCTCTGATGTAGGGAAGTGCAAGCACTGGTTGTGACGGCTTCTCTTCCTTGCGAGGCTCCTCCTGTCTTCTAGCCAAAGTCCTTTCTACTCCAAAGCGATGGTAGAGTCTCTATTTGGAGTCAAATCATTTTCATATCAAATCGTCATTTAATTACTGAAAAATGACAGTTGTATAAAGATACGACTTTTGTGAAAAAAAACTGTAACACTCATGTTACTGCACTTTTTTACTGATTCACATGTTGAATTAATTGTTTCAACCCGAAAAAGACGAAACGTACGAAACATCGCCGCAGTAGATTTTGCATCGCTCACGAAAACTTGGCCTTTCGCAAACCACAACTTGTCGAATTTTGCATCGTGACTTGGCTTGAATTCGATGATCTGGACACAAACGACATGTGGTTTCAACAGGATGGTGCTACATGCCACACAGCTCATGCCACTTTGGAGCGATTCAAGGGCATGGTCATCTCACGTATAGGTGTTGTTAGCTAACCACCAAGATCGTACGACTGGACCCTTTTAGACTTTTTCTGTTTGGTTTTCTTGAGTCGCAGGTGTATCTGAATAAGTCACAAACTACAGTGGTCCTCAAAGCCAACATAACCCATGCCGTCGGTCAAATTCAGTATGATTTGGGCGCCAGATTCATGGAAAAGTGGACGTTGGACCCAGCGACATTTGAATAATGTTTTGTTCCACACATAATGGCATCTTTCAATTTCGATGTTATCTGACAAACACTTTATTTTATTCAAATTCAAAGATAGAAACCGCTTAATGAGAGACACCACCGATCCATCGATCAGCAAACAAAATACCCTTGAGACCTTTTATAGTCTCGATTGTAAGCCCCAAGAAGGTTCTTTCACCTGCCCGCCATTTCCCTAAATATCCGCCAAATACGCCAGCGCGGCAACGCCGCAATCGCTCTCCTCCGCGCTCCTCGTAGAGAAAACTCCCGACGACGACAAGACTCTAATTGCCGTTCGGTTCAGTCATAGCAGCGATCGCCATAACGCGAGTGCGTCCTTGCCACTCTCTCTCTCTCTCTTCCACCATCTTCGAACCAGAACCAGACCGAGCCGACAAAGCAGAATAATTCCTTTCACATCGAGGAGTGCCCTGCCTGCCCCACGTTGCCGCCGCGAAGTGTCTGTCCCGTTGTGTCGTCGGATCGGGAGTGTTTACAGTGCGTTCCAAAAATCAAAAAAGTGTCTCGACGTGGCTATTACCGCGAAAGACGTGGAGTTTTGCGACCACGAGGTGTTGTTATGGTGGCCAGCCAAGGCGTCGAACCCCAACAGAATGCAGACATGTACTGCAGTCCCGTACATTCCCCATATGGTGATTATTACCCGGAGAATCATTACTACGTGCACGCTGGAGGACACCCAGACATGTGTCCTGCCCACGTGTGTGCCATGCAGGGAGAATTCGGTAAGAGGGGTTGATTTTGACGGAACGAATTCGTTATCAACCGATTTTTTGACCCGCCCCTCTCAATGGAGTTAGCGTGGCGGAGCTTTTGTTATGGACATTAAGATAATAGAGGTTCCCGGAAATGTAAAATTATAGTCAATACCCACCAACAATCGGTCAGTAATTTGTGTCAACAAATACCAAATATTCCGTCAGTACTACCCCTACTTGGTAATAGTTATAGAATGGTATAGAATGTTATAGGACGTTAAAGAATGGTAGAATATATCTCAGAACGTGAATAACTCCAGAATAGTAGTTAAGTAAAATGACTATTTCCAGATTGGTGGATAAACTTCCCTTGAACTATTTCAGCAGAAGTATCAGCCCCGACATTAACAGATTTGAAGAACAGCGATTTTTCAACAAAAACGGCAGTGGTAGAATTGCAAAAGAGTATTTCGACGAGAGAAATACCAACATTAAAATAATCTAATAACCAGTATATCCATGTTTTATTCTTGGGAAAGGAAGGTTTTGCATTTCTACTTCTCTATCATTCAAATTTTTCAAAGACAACTCAAAAATAAAATGACAAACCGAATTTTCATCAAAGATGAAGGAAATTACATAATGTGGCCATAGAAATGATTATAGTGACCTCAGGAAAGAATGGTGAAAGAGTTTTACATTGTGAATACAAAAAATTATAGCGAACTAATGACAGAAAATTCTTTTTGGGATGGTTCCACATGTCTATTCAATTGGATACTCCAACAATGAAGTGACAAATGAACATATTGAAATGTTAATAAAAAAGAGACGAAAACCTATCTAACAAAGATATTTCATTAAGGTGATTTATAATGTTAAACGCCGATAATGTGTATATCATTTTTTGAAATGAAACATATCTGCATATTTTCCGACGATAAATGAATATCTCAAAATATTTATTATGAAAATTGGGACCTCAGCAGGAAATGGCGAAATCATTTTATAACGGTAACATGATTAATGTAGAAATTTCGAAAAGATAGTCACAACCCCGTAAATAACTGTCAAATAGTCCTTTGTTAGTCGTCATTTCTATATATTCATCTAAAGGATATTACAATGATAAAATATTGACCGAGAATATGTCAGACACACAAAATACAGCAAGCTGTCATTGAAAAAACAGTATAATTTCAATTTTTGGGAGACATCCTGTCATGTGTATTGCTCTTATGTACGGCATACAGGGGGAATCAAGCACCAGAGGTTGATTATGCTGAAGACCGAGACAAATTTCTCTTCGAAATATTTTTTGACCGACCCTTATCGATGGAATAGTCGTGTCGAGGCTATTGCTTTTCTAATGACCATTATCATAATCATTATGATGGTATTATGGTTCCCAGAAATGTAAAATGAGAATCAATACAAACTAACGAATATACAAAAGGCCGGTAATCTGTGTCAACATAGACCAGATTGCCCATTAGTAGTGTACTTTTTGATACTAAATAACAGATTAGCTTCAAAATAGAACTGTAATGAGAATCACACACCGTGAATAGTACCTCATTCTTAGGGGGTTGAACAAATTTCATATTATAAGTAATAAAGGAATACAATAATACAAACGGCTTCAGGATGATATTCATAGTTCTCTTAAAAAACCGTTCAACAGCGGTATCATATTTCTTTCTAAGAGGCTATTTCAACAGTAAAATGATAAACGAAAATTTTTCTACCACAACAAAAAAATTCGTCAAAGTGTGTATCATGAAAGTAAATACACCTAACTTGGCGTGTAATCTCATTTTAGGAAAAGACACTCACATATTCACAGATTTCGGAATATCATAACGTGAATCTTGTCAAATAACCTCAAACATCAAACCAAATCCTCCAAAAAAACGTACAAGTTTAATTTTTTCCACGAAATAAACATTTCACAAGTAAAATGTCAAACCAACTGATTGTGAAAATATACAGAAATCTACATGATTCGCAAATTTATTTGCATGGATTCTTCGACTGAAAAATCCTGAACCAGCATAGTTTAGAATAAACACTACACGAGTTCCTCGATGTTGAGCTCTCGATCCACTTCGCCGACTGATCTACTGCTCATCCATTATTCACCAGCACAGCTAGATTTGCCAAGCTGTAAGAGATTACAAACTGAGATATTATGGAATGGTGAATCGGTTTGAACACATCATTCATCAGTGAATATAACGATAAACTGGCACAACATTTTTTAAGAATGGTGAAGGAACCGTGGAAAATAAAATTGTGAGGAGGTTATAACTTGACCCAAGAAGAAAAGTTGAGCTGTTCCAAAATATGTTTAACTTTATTCAATAATCAGAAGAATTTTATCAATGAAACAACAAGTCAATATCTTTTAGAACAGTGAAAGATCTTCAGACTTGCATATTACATGATAAAGAGAAACTTAAGAGGAAAGACATGTTCCTGCAACAATTAATATTTGAGAAACGCTAGTCTAATATATCTGGCATACAAAAAATTACAGAAGACTTTTATGAATAATGAAGCTTGAACATCAAATTAACGAAAAGTGATATGGCTGCTTGAGTGGTAAATGTGAAAAATTACATTTTTAAATTACACTTTTCTAGAAATCCTACATCTCCTACAGAAATGGTAGACCAATAATGATTATCTCATCGATAATGTCAAATTATATCGAGATCGCGATCAACTATGTTTATTTTATTGTTTCAACCGGAGGTATGGCAGGAACTAGAACCATTAACATTATTATCAGAATAATTTTTTCTCAACTTTGACACATTGATTAAACTCAAAGTTAATTTCTTCGAAAAATAAGCTAAGTTCTCTGAAAATTATACCGAAATCAAACTAATCACTGAGGAATAACAAGTGATTTGCGAAAAATCTCCAGGTATGGAAGTGTGTGCATTGACAACATTATTTTTAAACAATAAGTGCATGGTCACGTCCATTTTCAACACCCCGTAAAACGCGAAAGATTTTATCGACGCATGTTGCTTCAAAATCATTTCTTTGAATCCTGCGAAGCAGGAAGGTTTTTCACACATCGTTCACCTTCATGTCATATATTTATTGCTGCATAACTATTGTTCCATACAATTATTTCCATCAAGTATGACTGTCGAATCCGGCTTTTACTGTACAAATTATTTTGTGCATTCTCATTGTGATAGTTTGCTCATTATCACTCCCAAAGGAGGTAGCAATACCAGTTCTTCAGAATTAAAACTGGAATGTTTCTCTAGAAACTTGAAAGAAGTTTGATAAAGGTTTCAATACAAATGAGAAGTGAGTGGTATCTCTCATCGTTAATACTTCACCCAGGGTGATCCTGGCAAGATTACATCCTTTGATGTCATCCCATCTCTTTAGGGATTGAGCATGGATGTGATGTTTGGCTGGTTCCGCAATTGTCGAAGTCATCAGGACGTAGGTGCCACTGGGTCTTGAACTTCTCAGTCCAGCCACTTCCTTGGCTAAATAGTCGGCAATGCGATTACCTTTACACCTGTCACACCCTTCAACCCACCTCAGGCTAATGTTATTATCTACCACGGCTTTGGCTAAATCTTGGTGGCACTCTAGTACTAGCTCTGAGGTAACATGATGTTTGTTCAAGAATAATTGGGCTTGCCTGCTATCAGTGCAGATTGTTATGTTTTTGCCAGAAATTCCTTTCCTGGTTATTTCTTTTGTGGCGATTGGGATACCAGCCAGTTCTGTTTGGACCAAGCTGGTATTTTTTCCCATTCCCCACTTATTCCTTAGGCTTAGTGATCTGGGGTACACTCCACATCCTGAGCCTTCTTTGGTTTTTGAGCTGTCTGTATATATGCGTATTGCATTTGTAGCATCTGACTCTGTGTTCTGTTTTACTTGTATTCTGTAGGGTTTATTATACACAAGCCTGGGTTCAATTGCATCTCTGGTTGCCTGCAGCAGAGGTTGCGCAGTTAGCGCTTCTCTCCATAGGCTCAGCCTCAATTGACCCATTTCAACTTCGAGGTTCACACAAGCCGTGCACAATCATAACATGGCCATTAACGCAACCTCCTTATCGTACAGGTCCAGAGGGGTCATACCAGTAATTAATTCCACTGCCGCGGTTGGTGTTGTTCTCATGGCTTCTGTGTAGTTTAAACAAGCCAGTCGCTGCATTTCATACAATTTTTGGATGGCTGTTGCTTGTAGAACTTTCGGTTCTCATGCAATGACTCCGTACGATAACATCGGTCTTATTATTGCAATTCAGATCCAGGTAACCACACGGGGTGAAATACCCCATGCATGTCCCACTGTCCTCCGACATTGCTCATACGCCACGTATGCTTTTTTTGCTCTACTCTGTAGGTGAGAGTTCCATGTTAGCTTCCTGTCGAAGATGGTATCAAAGTATTTCACCTCTTCAGACAAGTTTAGTTTGCTTTTGAAGCCTGATAAGCTTCTTTTCCTGGTGAAAAAGACCATCTCAGTCTTCTTGTTGAGGTGATTAATCAGGGTATACAGCTACAAACCCTACTTGAAAAGCATTACCGCCGAGGTCATGCAAAACTGTACAACTCAGTCCGAACAATGTCTACTAAAAAATCATCATATTTCTAACACTTCCAAACGGAAATCATCCTGTCTAAATTGAAAGACCGCCGATAGAGCTGCTGCTCCAGATATTCCGAGTTAAATATAGACTTTTACGTACACGAATAAGTCGTCGGTTTTGTTTTGTTATTTTCGGAAGAGCGGCTGTATTTTGATTAGCGAAACAGATGGATTATTTACAAGTCAGTTCATTCTGTATATATTCAAGGGATCCCACATAAACTATAGGGATTTGTTTCACTATTTTTTGCCTCGTGGAATTCCATGTCATCATAACTGGGATGCAGGCCAAGCCGTCAAATTGAGTGCGACTGATTTTAGTTTGTAGTGTAACGAGTGTCTTCATGTCATGAGCAAGTTTTGTTTAGCAGTGAATCTGAAAATGAGAT